AACGTGACACAAAACAATGGAGGGAAATTATTTTTGGACCAGTGCATTAAAGCTGTAAATGGCTTCCTTTTAGAAAGTACTGGAACAAATTTTCAAGCTGTAAATGTTGCAATAATGTATAACAAATTGTCTTAAAAGTTTTCTTGAATTACTGTTTTTTTTATTGTTATTATTAATATTTTACCAGGATTTGGGGGAAAAGTAACAAATGCATCATTTACACAAAATTTTAAATATCTTTTCAGCATGCCACACTAGAAAAATGTAAATATCCATCACAGATTTACATGACATTTATGATACCTGTTAATTTTGGTAACTGGGAATTATTTTTTCCAACACTTTCATTTGAAATATCAGTGTCACCATTTAAACCCACCAACAATATCAGTTCTGCTACACACTTCAATAAAGTTATGATAGAGGATAATAAAGAACTATCACCATATTTCTGCCTCCACAAAGAACCAAAACTAAAGAAGAAAATGTATTCATGCTGTCTTCTGAACTCTGTCAACAGCTGGACTGTCCTCAGCTGACAAATTCAAGTTCTACATAACCACACCACTAGTACATAAAACTGTCGACCAGATAATAAAGTGATTGCAATATTTTTATATTCTAATTATATATAATATTATGTTATATATGCACACCGTATTTTCCGCCGTACATGTCGCTTCGCCGTATAAGTCGCATCTATTATCCGTCACAGCTAACTCCCCGGACATGTGGGCCGGTGTTGTGCCAAAAATCGATTGGCTGCCAAATGGCGGCAGCAGGAGTGTGCACTGGAGGACTTTAACAAGAATTTAACAAGATTAACACTTAAAAACAATTATTTGTTTGCTCGACTTTATAGCAAAGGTGTGTCTCAGTTGAACTTTTACTTAATAATGGAAATGGACTGTACTTATATAACGCCTTTCTATCTTATCAAGACACTCAAAGCGCTTCACACAACCATCTCATTTACCCATTCATGCAGCACTCTACTAGATCTCTACAAAGCTTAATCACATTCAGACACTGATGGGACACATCAGAAGCAATGAGGGGTTCAGTGTCTGGACCATGGACACTTCGGCATGTGACTGCTGGTGGAATCGAACCCCCAAATGTTGCATTGGAGGCCGACTGCTCTAACCACTCAGCCACAGCCGCCCTGTGTAATAAATGTGCTTCAATGGTCAAATCAGCTGCATTTCACCGGGGCGGCGCAGCGAAACTAAGCTGATTTGACGGTTGCGCCAGGCAGACGACGGTGGCAGTCTATGGCAAACCAATTGTGTCATTAATAGTCACATTTACCTATTACATGATACAACGGCATGCCATACTACTCGAGTGCCATCTAGCAGCTGAAAATGGTTTGTTCAATATTTCCAGTCAGAATGAATGAAAACAGTCATATCTCAGCCAAAAATGGTTTATAGATATGGGGAAAAATAGATAAATATGTTGCTTCGGTGTATAAGTCACAGGACATGTAAATTATGCAAAAAACAGTGACTTATAGGGAGAAAAATATGGCAACTTGGGTTTGTGGTAGCTTGGAGGGCTGCAGTAGCTTAATGGTCAGTGTCAGGGTCATGTAATTTTGAGGTTGCGGGTTTGAGCCCAGGTTTGTGAGTCATGTGAGTTTGCTCACCGTGGCAACCTCTGAAGAAGGGAGCAGCTGAAAGAAACTTACTTTACTTATCTATGTTATATATATATATATGTTGATATTTTATTTTATTAACCACCATCAAATTATCAGTGTTAACACAGGTTTTATGCTCAGGGTAGAGGTAGAAAAGTAGAAGAATGGGACGTACATTTGGAGATTTTTCTTTTCTTAATGTATAATTTATTATCTTTTATTACCAACCCTCAGCCCAAAATTTATTTTGTAATTCTTTAGATTAATAAAACAAAATTAAGAGGAAACTACCCATCAGAATCCAGTTAGCTACCATGACCAAATAAACCAAAAGCCAAACAAGGTAAAGAAGTGTCTCTTTATTGTTATAATTACCGTCCAGCTGATGTTGTGCCAGATGTTTTTGACTGCACAGCTTCTCCCCCTGGACACTTCTCTGGCTGCTGTTTGAAGCTCTGGTCTGTTATCTGTTATTAACCAGAGTCTGACACAATTCACATGTTGCTCATTCTGAAACAGTTGATGTATTTTCCTCGGACAGGTTTTCCTTTACCTCTCACCTGTTCTGCACAGTCTACGTTGTTGTTTCTATGATTGTGTATTGATTACCCTCTCACTTGGCTCTGGATGTGTTGAGCTGATCAACAAGAACAAACGATCGGGGATAAGACAAACCCACACTGCCTAAAGGTTACCGGCTGAAACTCATTTTATAGAAATATGAGAACACGTTTGATGAACCAGTCGACTATAAACAGAATCAGACCCTCTTTAGTTTTTTTCTGCGCTTCAGCACAAAAATACATTTTACTAACACGAACAAAAGCAGCTGTTTAGATTTTTTTTTATCCCCAAATACAAAAAGTAAGAATATATTTGTATACAATAAATGTATTAAAGACGCACTCCCAGTGCCTTTATGAGTATTTTCTGTTTATCTTGTGTTAAAGATCCATTTTGATTTTTATAAAAAAAAGACATAAGAGATCATCAAAAGCACGAAAATTGAATCTGTTGGGTTTTTTTTCCGGGACACAAACTTTTCTTCGTTTAGTTATATTTAGTTTTTTTAATTAAAATTATAAATCTGTCTGTAGAAATATAGTTAGCCTAATGATAAACATACATCTTTATGTTCATAAATTAATCAATAAAAACACAAAATATTACGTCATCAGTTGCTCTTAGAAGAATGTCACTATTAAATACATGAATAAATATCTTCACTGATTATATGTACATTTTTTTAACCCCTGACCAGCAAATTATTTAATTTTAAGTTGCAAAATCCTTTCAGAATTCCCAACTTGTTTTTTCTTTTTAATAAAATCAACTTTTTATTGTTGCTGATGAGCCACAATTAGGTTTGTTTGAGTGACGGTTTAATGTCTTATCACTGATGCTGCAATCACATCATCAGTCTGCATCACGTGGGATGTTTGTCTTTCTTGGTCTACGATTCTTCTTTAGCAGTAAATAGTATCTGTGTTTCTTTGAATTTGACTGGTTTGACAGGGAGGACTTCAGCTCAGCACTTTTGTCCTCACAAGAAAAGCCCTGTGTGATGATAAGAATCCTATTCAAATAAAGCACCGGGTCATAAAAGCTCAGCACTGGAGTGATTTCTGAGCACCCTCCACCAGCTCTGGCTGGGAAATCTTTGATTAACCCAAATAGATTTGAGCAAATGGATCATCACATCATCTTCGTCGCTGTGGACTGCTTTGAGTGACCATTCATATTTTAGTGAAACTAATCAGCAGCATTGTGCTGCTCCATTTCTTTTCCAATTCACTCCCCTCTAAATTAAACAAAAGATGCTGGAAATGTTCTGTCATTGTTATTCATAGTTAAAAATTTGTTAAACTCTGATGTGATTGGACTGTTGAAAATTATAGGAGAGTATAAAATAAGAGTTCAGAATATAGGAACTAATATTAAGGCTGGGCAGAATAGATTAAATTATATTTAAAAAAAGACAAAGAAGCTTATATTTATATGTACAGCATTAGATGCATGGAATAATGCGTCAATAGCTGTCAGGATCTGGGTTTGTTAGTTTTATTTATAACTTTTTGTGTTTTATGGTTAGTTTTATTTAATGTTTTCATTCTTTCAGCTTCCTTGTGTTTCTTTGCACCATCGTTCTCTCCCTCAGTCAGTTTGCCACGCCCACTCTCACCTGTTTTCCATCAGCTGTCTCCACTTCCTCATCAGACCGTCTTCTCCTTCACATCCACAGTGACATTGTTGGCTTAATGCCACGGTTCTCCTTGTGGTCCTTTTGATTCCCTCAAGAAGTTTTGTAATTTTTGCCGCACACCAGTTTATTTTTTATTTTTTATTATAATAAAAAAAATGAGTTTCACATCCCAGTCTGCATTCTGTGTCCAAACCTCCTGCCGCTGTGGCAAAATCAGCATTTATTGGTTCAAACCATTTCTTCATGTTCTCCATCTTTTAACTTCTATAGAATGATGGCTGTGTTGATACGTTGCTGCAACATTGCTGCAACGGCAGATGCATCACTACGCCCTGCGCAAGCAGTAAACTCACTTTAACAGTAAATTACTCCTTTCCACAATAATCTCTGGTAAAAATAAGACTGCCTAAAACAATGGTTTAATAATTACAAAACTAGATTGCAGGAGTCTGCAGATAAAAATTGTCACCTAATAAAATTGACCACAAAGATTTGTAGCAACATAACAGCATCAATAACTTCTGTAATCCACTTAGTCCTCCTGTCATTTAATGTGCGCCTCTTAATTAATGCTGCAAAACCTTGTTAAGCAATTTGTTTACCGTTCTTTTTACATTTTAACGTGTCTAAGCCTATTAATTGTGTAAAGTTTGCAGAGATTTCTGCACCAATATCCGGAGCCTCCCAGAGGTCTTTATTATGTGAGCAGCTCGAGTTTTATTTTTTTGTTTTGTTTCATCCAGCAGTCCGGCCTTTCCTCCTCTGCATTGGGACTATTGACATTTTGCAGCATCGGGTCTCCTTCCTCACAGTCAGGGACAAAGTGGGTGGCAGAGGTGATGAGGTGCAGCAGCTTCTCAGACGCACTTGAAGCAGTTCAGACGTGCACAAACGTGAACTTCCATAATGATTTTTAAGTGTTCCAAGCGTTTTTTCCTCCTAAGAAACCGTCAGATTGTTTCTGTCAACAAACAACTAAAATGTACAATAAGAGCTGAATGACTTTACAAGGAACTGATCAAAAATCTAAACTTTTATTTGTTTTATATAAACTCAAAGCATTCCATGAGTACACACGGGAGGCATTTTAACTACAAGTTCTGAAGCGGCCTGCGTTTTCTTTTCCATTTACCTGATTTGTTTTTTTATTAGGTGTGGCAGTGTGGGGGGAGCGTCGAGGTCCTGCCCTGCGCTCGCATCGCCCACATCGAGCGGGCTCACAAACCCTACACCGAGGACCTGACGTCGCATGTGCGGCGAAACGCCCTCCGGGTCGCAGAGGTTTGGATGGACGAGTTCAAAAGTCACGTGTACATGGCTTGGAATATTCCCATGGAGGTGAGTAACTGGGCCCCCAAATAATTATGCATCAAAATCCATGTTGTCAATTATTGACGTAGTCAAGGCAGCAATAACCTCATGCCACATATTCCACTTTACTCCTCATTTTTAGAGAATATTGCATATTTTATGGTTTTCTCTGAGAAAAATTAGAAAGGTGTTTTATTTATTTATTTATTTATTTTACACACAAAAAAACCATAAAAATATGGAAAAAATAATTTAAAAAATACTTTATATCTATAGTTAGGTCTGATGTTGAATGAATTTGATGCAATGGAAGTAGAATTATTGCTATATGTTGCATTTTTATTTGACTTTTATGAGGGGGGCCATTTTGGGCCAAAGAGAGTTAAAGTGCTGTGTTCATACCCATCTGCTCACAACAGACTCATGTTCAGGCTGCTGTTTAATACATGTATTATATTACATTATTATTGTTGAGTGTATATCTTGGTGCATATCTTAGATCCTTGCTTACTGTTTCTTTTTATACTTTATAGTTTTACTATTTTGGGTGTACAGTAACTGGAACCTTGAGTACAGTACACAATTCCGTTCCACCTCATGTACCACATGTGATGCGAATGGCACTAAAGAACTTTGACCCTTACATGTATAGTCTTCTCAATATGTCAATGATATACATGGAAGATATTTATTTTCCTAACAGTGTAATATTGGTGTCACACAAATGTAATTTAGTGGCTTTGTGTGTGTGCGTGCGTGCGTGCGTGCGTGTGTGTGTGTGTTGGAGGTTAAAAGGTCGATGCAGATCTTATATAGCAAGTATCTTGAGCTCTTGCCAATAAAGATTCCTACGATATTTTTCATTTTCATCTTCTCTTGCTACCTCTTTATATTCAGTATTAATTTTTAAATATGTTCTCTTTGAGCAACAACAATTTGACATACATGGGATAAAAGTCGAGGTTTAAAATTCCCTTTATTGTCGTTCTAAATCATGATCAAGTAAGAAGTGTTGAATGTGATACGGATCTCTCTGAGTCAAGAGAAGCAACACCACTGAAACAAAAGTGAAACTGTTGTTTTTTAAACGGTGAAAATCTGTTTGTTTTATTAGTCATTTATTAGTTATTAGTCAGTTTATTAGTCAGTTCTTCAACTAAATGTGTAATCTTGATCTGTGACGTCCCGTATGAGCTGTCTGGTATGAAATTCTTGGAGTTTCACAGTTTAACGGATGACACAAACTGAACTAAATGGACTTTGTAAAACGATGTTGTGCTTGTGTGTCATTTCTCAGATGTCACATTTAAACTGAGTAAAAGCTTTAGTAAAAGAAACAAATCTTACAGATAAACACCAAAATCTTCTAAGCTTTAAACTGCATGAGATGCTTTAAAGCCTTAAACTTCAACTCTAATTGAGAAAACACCTTGAATGGGGCGTGAAACATCTTCACCTTCAGATAAATCCAGTTGTTTTTGTTTTTTTCTTATGATTTCCCATGACCCGGATATCTGAAAATCTTCTCAAACGTCACTGATGACAATATAATAAACTAGAATTATTTAGTTAGTCATAAATAGAAACTTTTGCCCCGTCTTGAATATGTAAAACAGTTTTTATTTCCAGTGCAAAATCATAAAATATCATAAACCCGCTTCTCTAATCAGCAACCTACAGATCCCACCCGCCTAATTTAGGTGTCACCAGGTTCACCGTCGTCTGCTCGCTGCAAATTGCACATTTGTGTTGAAACAAGGCTCCCGACGCCCCTTAAGGACCCGCACGAAATGATTTTCTTGTCATTTACAGATTGGCCTGGATTAGATACGTGCTCGTGAATATATAAATTCTTAAAATGGTTCAATAAAATGGTCTAAATGGAAAAATTATTAGTTAAAAGATTCGTCCTAAAGGCTGACAGTGACATTTCGAGAGATGACTTGAGAAAGGAAATTAGATTAGATCTGTGACTCGGGTGCAAAATAATTAATAATGCAGAAAAACTAAAAAGTAATACAAAGATGTGAGATATAGATAATTCATTTTATAAGAATCTCTGTGTTTGGGTTTATTTGGAAATTACAACATATTTGCCGTGTCAACATCTTGTTTAGTAAGTCTGTAAAATCCCTCTGTCGTGTTTCTGGAGCTGAATTTTGTTTCATACAATTTTTTTTTAATCTTTATATGGATTTAACTGAATTTGAAAAATGCTACAGCTATATGACAAATTTAGCATCCCTCGAAGGCGAACTTAAATGTTTGCTTATTGGGGTTATTTTTTCTTGTCCTGCATAATTTGTTTGGATATGTAAATTCACATTATAAATAGATGAAATGAACATCTGCAGGCGATTCATTCAGTCAATAATGAGGCCGCTAACAGAGGCTGTAGTCAACGAGCGTGAAATTTAGCTTTTAGCCTCATAAATTTACTGCACGGAAACATCAGCAGGTTTAAATGAGAGCGTAAAGATCTGCGGTGTTCATCTGAAGTTTGCCCTCTGAGTTCATATTTGGAGCTTTTTAAGCTGAGAGCTTCACTTACGCACTTCAGCTCTTTAGTAGATTAGACACAGGACACAGACGGGAACAAGCAACGATAACTTCACAATAAGTCATGAAATTTAAAAGTATTGCAGCTCAAACCAAACTTGTGAAATATAAATTAGTGTAAAGATTAGCTTAGTTGAAGAAGTTCTGTGATTCGTTCATTCAACTTTTATTTCTACAGTTTCGTCTCATTGAGTCACGAGGACTCATTTACAAGAGAGACCTGTTTTAGACAGACACCATATAAAGTACGACAATAATTCAGCAAAATAAACAATTAAAATCAAATTAAAGTAGTTACAAACACAGTCAAATCAAGGTGTGTATATTTATGCTCTTACCATTTTTCATACTGCAAATAAGTCACAGGAAAACTAAAAACATTATTAAGCTGCAAAAGTGAAAGAAACGTGCGGCACGTAAAAAATAAAACTAAAAACAGGAGGCTGGCACTGACGCGGTGGCTGAGTCCACCGGCTGAGTCCACCGGCTGAGTCCACCGGCTGGGTCCAGCAGCTGAGTCCAGCAGCTGGGTTCAGCAGCTGGGTTCAGCAGCTGGGTCCAGCAGCTGG